TATAAAGAGAAAAAGAGAGATTCAATGATACTAAAGATTTAGGTAGTTAGGAATTCAATGCAAGATTCCAATTTTCTTAAGCATTTTGTTATTTTTTTTATGCCTGGAGAAATTTGATTAATTTCATATTGCTATTTTTTAATTTTGTATTTTATTGATGCATACCAGTGTTGGCAAAATCAAACCAGAATTGTTAACCAGATATGGGGCTGGAAGCGATTTAACCGGCCGATTCAACTGTTCTAACCAGGCAAGTCCCGAGCAGTCAAAAAATTGTTGGAAAAATAAAAAAGATAGAAAAAAAGCTTCTGAAATATGAAAATTACATAAAGAATTATTAACAACAAATTCATTCAAATGAAGTTGAAAATTAATGAAAAAAATGGATTTTCAAGAATTGATTTGTGCCTAAGGATATTTTTAAATTTTTTTGAAAAAGATGAATAAATATAAAAGTGAGTATTAATGACCAAAACAATTTCTAATCTTTACCATAATGTAAAGAATAATTAAAAAATATATTATAAACCAAATTCCTTATTTTTGGGATGTTATATACATTTTTGAATTTTTTTTGTTAAAATACTAACCAATCACCAAAACCACCCAAAAGAGAAACCGACCAGTGGTTGGTTATGATCTAATCGGGTGGTTATCGATTTTGATCGCCCGGTTTTTCCAACATAGTTGTATACAACATAGCATTTTGGATAGACCACTATTTTACGAATTTAGGGCTTTGCATTTTCTTTTTAATTAGGTACAATCCTATATTGAGGGCCTTTTAGTGTTTTTCTTTGAAAAATAATTGTATATGTTCGTTCACAGTTCTTTTTATTTGTTAAAATAGTTCTTGTGGTAAGTATTGTTGTTGGTGTTTCATTTTGTGCTCCCAATAAATGGTGATATGTCAATAGAGTAAGCATTGTTGCTGGATTTATTGTAAGATACATCATTACTTCATCAATGTTCAACTCGGCAGAGCAGACCGTAGAGTCACGGCTCACCCGAGAGTCTAAATCCACAAGAAGAAAGAGCGAGAGTCCAAACCAACTATACTAGTTTTAACAAAAAATTGTTAAGTATTAACCTAATGACAATAGTAACGATATAAAATTATTATTTAATGGCTTTGGTATATCCATACAACAGCTACAAATCACAATCTTATATTAGGACATCATTATATATCTAATCTTTTCATTATGTTTTTTTTAACCAAATCTGAAATAATCACGGCTCTATAGCTTACCTTATTTTTTGGCAATCCTTACTTTTACCGGATTTTTGCTTAAAAATAAAACCTATTTGCTACCAATGTTTTGATCTGTGGATATTTTATTACTTCCCAATGAAAGTACAAAATGGCACAAAAGTTTGGAGTGAGACCTGAAATATAACTAGTTTGCGGGATTAATTACATAACCAATACTCAAGAAAGACATACAAACAGAGATTAAAAAGAATCCAAAAGAAACCTGTGCCCACCACATCAAGAAAATGATAATGCACCGATTGGAATGTTCCATTGCCCTTTGTACAGGTCGAAACGACATACCCTATCATACCCCAGCAGAGTAAATTTGGTTCTCAGTGTTCAAACTACCACATGCCAGAGCAAGGTTCATGGGTAGCCTCTAAAAAGATTTATTGTGGGAGGATGACCATAATGGTAAGGGTGCGGTTTGTATAGAGCTGAACAATCAAAGTAAAACCCATCTTTAAATAGTGTCGAGAAATGTGGTTCTAATACTGAAATTTTTTGTGATAGTCTTAAAATATATTTTCATCCTTAATTATAAAATTTAAAGCTTAAAAAATAGCATAAAGCGATCAGATCTATGAAAACTTGAAAATCTTGAAAATTGACAGTCCAAAAATGTGTTACAAGATGCACTATTTTCAAAACTTGAAATCCATTTTTTCTCATGTCCGTGTATCTTGATGTCGAGATGATTAATTTGAGGATATTTAGGCATCAAAACAACCTCTTCTAATGATGTTTTAGAGGTGGGCTCCAATTTGATTGTTTAGAGCCTCGGCTCTATATAACTTTTTCCTAATACTAAACATCCGCAGCTTGGGAAATGGAGAACCACTGGTAAATGAGTGAGTATAAGTAGAGTTGGTACCAAAAAAATCAAAGATATTAGTATCCTTGCTGCTAAAATTTGATAGGGAATGTGCACTGAAATTACGAATGAAACTTAACGCCGAAAAAACAAAAAAAAACAAAAGAAGAAGAAAGAAAAATAAAGCAATGTGAAATAGGGAAGTACCTTTGGAGAAGCAACAATTGGTGTTCATGAATTAAAGGAGGTTTTTAAAGGCTTGGAAAGGAGTTCATGGAAAATCCAATCTATTAAATAAGCTAGCCAATGGGAGTCTGTGAATGGGTCCAAGAGTTAAAAAACTCCCCTTTGGTGTTGGCACTGCACAAAGACTACAAAAAATTTGAAGTAGAAAGGCAATGGTTGGAGTCCGAAGACCAAAACATTCTCAAACCCAAACTTTTCCTTGAAACATAAAACTGAGAACAGAGCCAACCCGTTGAGGACAATGAGGATGAGTTCCTCTTTTCATTTGTGTAAAATTTGGCATTGTGATGGAGGAAAAATTATTATTATTATTATTATTTCTGTTTAAAAAGGATGAAATTTTGATTTTACTGTTAGAGCTTTTAAGTGTTTATGGGATTCTAGGGTTTTCTATATTTTGATTATTTACTATTTATGAGTATTATCTATGGTATTGTTCATGCATTACTGATCTTATGAATATTTTTTAAATTAATTATTGTTTAGGGGTATTTTGGAGTTTTAATTATTTACTTGGGTTTGAAGTTAATTTATGATTGTATAGGTTTATAGAAGGTTGGATGTAACAATTTGGGGGGCATACATAATACAAGTGAATTTTATTTTATACAAAGAAGAAAGTTTTTCTTCTTTTGGCTTGATTTACAGACCTATTATTTCTTCATTATTGCTGACATTAGTTGTTTATGTTAACAAAATCAAATTTAGTTAAAGTTCATTTTTAGCGTTGCATTTTTGCATGCAAGTTTAACGTTTTTATTTTTTATTTTTTATTTTTTATTTTTTATTTTTTATTTTTTATTTTTTATGGAATGCTAAGTAGATACATGCAAGCTATGTCACGCTGAACATGGTTAGAACAAAATGTCCAATGAGACAACCCCAAAAGACACGGGGCCAAATATTTTGTGTCATTTTTCCTCAAAAGAGTGAATGATATATGCATTTAAAATATATGTAATTTGCAATAACCTTGTAATTTTGAGCTTTGTCAAAATTTATTCTTTATTAGAGAGAGAGAAAGATCTCAGAGAGTTTATTCTTGTGGGGAGAGAAGTCGAGAGGTGCTTGTATAGTCCCATTTCTTTTTATCAATTAGTTGGGCACTATTTACCCAACAAAAAAAAGGAAAAAGATCAAGGGTCCTCGAGATATAATTTAGAGTTTTTGTTAAGATTTTGTTCTCTATAACATTTTGTTCTTCAGAACAGAGCGGAGGAGGTCTTAAGTTCTTTAATGTTTCAGATATGTTTGTGTCGATCGTCCAATAGCGGTTTGTAAGAAGCGCCTAGCTTAAACAATGAAAGTTGGATGTAGCACAAAATCATGCTGAAAGATGCAATTTGAGTGCCAAACAATTTTTGGATCTCCTGAATATTTGTCAAGTTTAATTACGATATTTAAAGCTAAAAAAATAGTGCAGATCAATCAAATCTTCAATTTCAAGAACATTTCAAACCATGCCTTACAAGACGGATTGTTCTCATCATTCCAAAACCTTTTATGAAGTTTTTCCCAAATATAGATCGAGATGATCAATTGAAAGATTTTCTAGCAGGAAACCCCTTCAAGTGGTTTTTTTATGTGCTTATTCTTTCTTTAAAAAGCTGGGATAAATCAAATATAAAGCTAAAAGTTTACCAAAACCATAAAATGTATGGCTAAAATTTCTAGTTAGACCCAAGGAGTCTCAAGATTAGGCCCCTACAAGTGTAGTTTCTAAAATTCTTACATTAAGAGTATCATAAATTTAGGGACTTCTCTTGCTGATTTATCCAAAAAAACTATCATCAATTTTTATATTCCTATGTTGAATTATGTGACAATCGTGCCAGACATAAAAAATCAATGGCTTTGATTACATTGCTAATTCCAAGTCTTTGACAATTTAAAAATTCATAATGATAGGAGTAACAAATTTTAAAGGGATTGCATACAATGATATCATTTACCTTTGATACAAGGCAATCACAATTCTTTACAGCCATTTGATGTAAAATTTGATAGCTTGGATGTGTCACGAATTTGGGAAAATATCTTTTGAAGTTTGAGTTTGGTCAATGGAATAATTGCAACATCCCAATTTCACATCCAATGGTCAAGATTATTATGATTACATTGTATCAAAGGTAAATAGTCCCATTCTATACTTTTCCAATTTTTAATACGTGAGGTTTTAAAGTTCCATTATGATGGGAGAACAACAAATTTTAAATAAAGATATATAATATGAGACATTTATCTTTGATACAAGGAGAATACAATTATTCCTACCTATTGTGGAAAATATAGAAACCTGCAATGATACTTAGGAAAATATTTTCCACATATAAAACATTGTATTTATGTATAATTGGGCTTTAAGCCCCCATGAAGATGTATTATTGAGGTTATCAAAGATGTCAACAAGAGCCCCAATTTATAGGGTTACAAAGTCATGTACTACTAAAGAAACTAACATATGCAGTGAATCACCTTTTTAATATGGGTACATATAAGAGGAAAGAAATTATTGTTCCTAAACATCATTGCAAGTTTCTATATTTTCCACACTCCCCCTAAAACTCAAGATTCATTAAGAGAGAGCAACTTGAGGCTGAACAATTGAAGCTAGACAATAGTAACAAAGCAGGAACATAAGAAGTTTGACAACTGTAAATTAGCAATCCTCAGAAACCGACATCTCAAACTGATCAATCACGCATAACAGTAAATCAACATGTATTCAGAACAGACATTATCAGAACAGACAGATTAGAGAATCGAAACAAGAATGGAAAAAAAAAAATATCGTTCCTAAACATCAGTACATGTTTCTATATTTTCCACAACTATTAGGTGTCAAATTGAATGGGTTCTATATTTTTCACAACTATTAGGTGTCAAATTGAATGGGTTGAGGTGTGATGATGTTTTAAGTAGGGTCGGAGACGGTTCCCGAAGTAGCGTTGGAGATGGGACTTGGTGGTTTGGTCTGCCCACTCCAAACCCTCCCACCACTCCTTCTCTCCCCTTATGTATTTTAGACATTGTGCACTGCGGGCATCGAAAGGGAGGCTGGTCAGACTTGGACATTTCTCCACATTGATTGTGCACAAGGATGGCCAATTCAAGATGCGGCCGCATATGGTTCCCAATTTTGGTAGCGATCTAAGACTCACACATTTCAAATCGGGGAAGGCATCCTCTTCAATCTCCTGTTCATCATCTATCACTTTTTCCATTTCATCACATTCTTGGATGAACACACTTTCCAGACTAGTGAGTAGTTGGGGCATGCCGGTTGTGAAGACGGACCGCAGTCTTGAGCATGAACATAAAAACAGTTCTTTTAGGCTGGCAAAGGATCCCTGAGGAGGCACCCCAATGCATATGCTCTCCACTCCATCCAAGCGCCTAAGCGCCAAGTTCTCCAAGCATCGGAATGCACCGTCTCCCGCCTCCTCCCCCACCATCACACACTTCACTTCCCTGCAACCTACTATCTTAAGGACGGTTGCAAAGGTGTTGGGGGCACGTGTCGGCCCCAGGCATTCTTCAAACACCAAAATCCTTATGCCAGGGGAGTTTTCCAGTGTGATCAAGGCATCATCTGTAATAGTAGATTCCTTTATTATCAATGCCCGGATGCTCCTGGTTAACTCCTCAAGCCAATTCCAATTTACTACACCTGTAACAGTTAAGTTGTCGATAACTCTCAGGCGCCTCAAGCGAGTTAACTCCAACAAATTTGCCCCACCTGCCTTTCCAGGCTTCTCAATGCACCATAGGAGGCGACATTCTTGGATGTACAACTCCTCCAGATTACTTAAACGAGACAATGCTCGAGGTGGGAATCTCGTGAGACTAGGGATCCAGGACAGATGTAGCCGTCTTAGATCAGTCATGCCCCCAAACCCAATAGGCAGCTCCTCAATCATATGACACCCTGACAAGTCTAACAATTGAAGCCGCCGAAGCTCCCCGAATGTTGCAGGTAACTCTCGTATCGGGCAACGGCGTAACCGGAGCACAAGGAGGTTCTCTAACTTTGAAATAGAACATGGGAGGGATGAAACACTGGTATCACTCAAATCAAGCACCCGGAGGGCACGCAGGCGTTCAAAGAAATTCTCCGGTGGGATGTACGATAGATCCCGATTTCCCTGAAGCAGTAGTGTTACCAGTTTTGGGCATTCAGGCAACTGAGGAAGGGCCTTTAAATGGTTTTGAATCAAGGCTATTCTGTCTGCCTCACTCCATGTCGCAGCATCTGGCGCCTCACTCAGACCAGCCCTAGGCAGTGCTAAGAATTTGGCACCTTGCCTCGAACTCGACCTCGACCTCGACCTCGACCTCGTAGAAGTGACCCATAGAGCCATGTGCCGCACCACGTCATGCATCTTCACCATTATTTTATCATAAAGGTCCGAACCTTCATATGCATCTCCAGTTTCGAGCATGCATGCTAGTTTTAACCTTCCAACTAAAGTATACACCTTGTTAATGGCAGATTTCAGATCACCTACCCTATCTACCCATCCTTCCCCAATGCACCAATTTACAAGTTCCATATTCCCCCATGACATAGTCTTCAGGGTATAAAGCGCAGAACAAGAAGAGAGATCTAAGATCATCATCATCTAATTTATCATAACTGAACTTTAAGGGCCTATATACGTATTCATCCATACCTCTAACACCAGTGCCCGACTGTTTCAACTCCCGTTGGGCATCCTCCCACTCCTCCACTTCTCAATTGGTTTGCCATGGCTCGTGCGACCGTGATAATCGCTAGGGGCAACCCATCACAACATTCAACAATAGCTTCGGCAACTGGTTTTATTTTCGGCAAAGTAGAATGTGAACCTGATTTCTCGACAAATAGAGCCCATGCTTCCTCCTTCGAGAGTGGTGCTACTAGGATCGCCGGCTTGGCATCCATGTCACTGCAAACTTCTCGGCTTCGACTGGTTAGGAGAATCTTGCACCCAACATTCTCAATGGTTGGTCGAGGAATTCCGACATCTTCGAGTGACAAAGGTTTCCAAATGTCATCCAATATCACTACATACTTCATTCCTCTCAACTTAGTCAGTAGATTCTCCCGGGCCGTCTCATAACTGCAATTCGACAAATCCAGAAGACCCAATCGCTCTCCAATCCTCTTCTGCAAGCCTGAAAGATCTGGATTGCTAGACACAGTGACCCATATCACAATATCAAAAGTAGTATTGGACTGCAATTGATTGTTTACCTCTTTGGCAATAGTTGTTTTTCCTACTCCTCCCATACCGTACACTCCGATGATCCCGATTTGGTCGTCATGTATGCAGTCGAGAACCTCTTGTAATGCTTTTCGAGCTGTACGTTGACTTGGGATGGGCGTGGTTTCCAACTGTACAGCACGCTTTGGAGGTGGAGAGGTAGACAATGCACCAATCTCCATTGCTAACCTGTAGTCGACATCTTCCACGAGATTGACAGCTCTCTTGCTGAGTTTGTAACGAGACCAACAATCGGGGCACAGGCGTCTTAGACATGTCTTTCCTTGCTCATACTCATCTTTAATCCAAACGGCTTCTGCTTCGATTACACTGACTGAATCGAGCCATTCTTTCGCTCGCTCTGTGGGGATTCTTCCCTCTCTCCTAGCTGCTGTTGCTAGGGCACTATCTGTGTCATTCTTTTTGCTTGTTAGCTCTCTCGTTTTGCTTTCCAGTTTCTCAATATTCTTCCTCAATCGCACTAAATAACAGATCTGCCCAATACAGGGGTCAAACACGTATTTTGTAACAAAATCTGCAACTGGGTTTATGAAAGCCATGAGTGAGAGTGCAAGGACGAGCCTTTTTTTGGAGAAAGTAATCTCAGTGGAAGATGACACAATTCGGTGGATGCAAGATTGCACTTATCAGAGAGAGATGCAAGCAAAGCAAAGTGGTGCTAGTAGATTGAGAAGAGAGTATTAGAATTCAGTCTGAATGTTGGTTTTAACTGAGGAAGAAGGCTGAAGGGAAAGAAGATGAAGAAAATGATGGTGTAGTTTCAATCTGAATGTAGTTTCAGCGGTCGAATCATATTCAAGTATCGGTGGCCTTAGACGTTGCTTTATTTGCAGTGGAGGCCTCGCCACGTTTGAATTCATTCAACTGGAAAAAGTCGAATGAATTCATTAAAGTGGAGCCACATCGTAGAAAATAAGGACACAATAAATAATCGTAAGCTAGCAAATTCAAGGTATCATTGCAGGTGGGCCTTCACGGTCATTGAAAAAGCGTTGCATCTTCCCACTTGGTCCAAAGGTCCCATTAAGTTATAATAATAATAATAATAATAATAATAATGAAAAAGAAAGTAAAAAGTAAAAAGGTTATGGTTTATAAGGTTGCAACCTTAAACAATCCAACTAAGACGCACCTTAAAATTTTATCGTAATTTTGTTATAAAAAATTCTTCATATTATCTTAAAATCTATTTTCATATCTAGTAAGAAAATTTTAATTTCTAAAAATAGTTAAAACCAAATAGATCTATAAATATGCAAAAGTCTTGAAAATAAACGGTCTAGATAATGTGTTGTAAGATGCACTATTTTCGAGACTCAAAAATGTTTTTGTTTTCATATTCATACATCTCAATATCGAGATGATCGATTAGCTTGTTTTTACAACATTAAAACAATATTTCAAATATATTTTTGAAGTGCCCATGTGATTCTACATTTTAAGGTTACAACCTTATATAAACTTTTCCCAAAAAATTAAAGACATGTAAAATTTAGAAGCTGAAAAAATTTCTAAAAAGTTGCAACCGAATAAAGTGTAGAATCACATATGCACTTCAAAAATCCATCAAAAAATGTTGTTTTAATGTTGATCTAATTGATAATCTCGATGTATGAATATGGGAAAAAGAAAGAAGATTTGAATATTAAAAATAATACATCTTAGAAAATATTATCTAGACTGTCCATTTTAAAGATATTCATATGTTTATATATCTCCTTGGTTGTAACCATTTTTTTAGTTTAAAATTTAACAACTTAAATATAAAAATAGATTTTGAGATAATCCAATTTTTTCACCAAAATTATAAATTATGATACATCCTTAGAGAAACCACAACCCTTAAGAAAAATGCTGTACAAGGAAAAATATAAACTTTACAGGTGCAGTCATTAAAAGCTGCATTCAAATTTAAAGGTGTACACTATAAAAATATATACTTTAAAGGTGAATTCACATTTAAAGGTGGAAAGTACTAAAAGAAAAAAAAAACAAAAAACAAAAAGGAACGGTCAGGGTGAAACTAGCAGAGTTAAAGACTTACTCGGCTTACACAACCAACCTAGAAAAGGAAACAAAATATATAAGGAGAAAGTTTATATAAAGTTGCAACTTTAAAATGTAGAATCACATATGCCCTCAAAACTCCATCGAAAAAATGTTGTTTTAATGTTAAAAAACTCTCTAATTGACCATCTCAACATCCTTATGTATGAATATGAAAAAAAAAAAAAAAATTGAGTCCTGAAAATAGTGCATCTTGTAACACATTATCTAGACCGTCCATTTTCAAGATTTTCATAGATCTACATGATTTTAACTATTTTTGGAGTTAAAATTTTATATTTAGGTTTTCAGATAATCCTAATATATTTTTACACTTAAATTGCATGTCATGATAAAATTTGGAGATGCACCTTAATTGGATTGTTTAAGGTTGCAATATGGAAACCACACCAAATATATAAATATCAGAATTAAAAATAGGGAAAAGTTTATACAAATTAGAGCCTACCTCAAAAATTTCACTAGAAGAGGTTGTTTTGATGCTTAAATTGATCATCTCGACATCAAGATGCATAGACATAAGAAAAAAATGGACTTCAAGTATTGAAAATAGTGTAGTTTGTAACACATTTTTTTATTGCCAATTTTCAAGTTATCATAGATCTGTCGATCTACATTATTTTTTAATCTTTAAAATTTATAAATAAATACAAAAATATATTTTAAGGCTATCACAAAAATTTTCAGTATTAAAACTACATTTTCTACATTAGTTGAAGGTAGGCTCTAATTTGATTGTTTAGAGCCTGGGCTCTATACGAACCGCACCCTTAAAAATAAAATAAGGGAAAATTTCTTATAGATCCCTAATTCCCCATCGTATTTCCCAGTAGACCCTCATTCTATTTTTCTTTCATGCGGCTCAACGTACCCCATCATCTCTTCTCTCCCACGTTTATTCACTTTTGGCCATAAAAACTAGCCCCAAAATATGGTTAAAAAGGTTTTTGGATTGAGATGAAATAAAACAATTTGTTGGGGCTAGTTTTTGTAGCCAAAAGTGAATAAACGTGGGAGAGAAGAGATGAGGGGGTACAACGAAATACTCAAGAGTTTTTTTATGCCGCTTGAAAGAAAAATATGAGGGTCTACCGTGAAATAAGATGGGGAATTAAGGGCCTGTACGATATTTTTCTTAAAAATAAAGTTTTACAACCCTGAATAATTCAAAAAATTATTGCTTTGTAATAAAAATATTTGAATAAAATTTTTAGGCCTGTATGGCAGAGTAATTGATAAAATCAGTGCGAGTTTCAATGCAATCTTGGCATATTCCAAGTCGAGTTGCTGAATTTTTTTTTAAAACAGCCTTATAATATCTTGGCGCTCCAGATAAAAGAAATCTCTTAGCGCTCCAGATAAAAGAAGGGACTCAATTCCAATAAAAGAAGAAAAAAAAAGCACATATTTGTTTGATTAAAGAAATTATCCCATTCAATTGTTCTTTTCATTTATTTATTCTTTTTTCTATTCTTTCGACTGCCATATTCTTTCCTTTCTTCTCGCTTTCACTTTATTTATGTATAGAATTGTATCTTATAAGGCCGTTTACTTTTTGCTACAAGGACATCACAAATAACTCAAGCCATTCGATTTCAAATTGGGCCACTTTAGCATGAAAAAGTTCAACAAATATTTTTTTGAATTTGGTACTTATTAATCACACACTTATGACCACCCGATTTGAAATCTGATGGACAATAGTGATTGTTTCTTGTATTAAAAGTTAATGGTCGCTTTGTATACTCTCTTTTAAGGGATTGTATACAATGTCACTATTATTACAGGGAGATCACAAATACCTCAAAGGATCTTATTTCAAATTACACAACTTCAATTATATTACAAAGTTCGAGAAATTTTTTTTAAAAAATTTGAACTTAGTCTATGACACATTTATAATCACCTGCTTTTAAATTGGACAAAAGAGTGCTAGTGACCTCCTTGTATCAAAAATAAATAATCTCTTTACATACTTTCCCTTTTTGTTAAAGGTTAAGGTTTGAATAATGCACCACCGAGGTGTACCCCTAAATTTTGATAATAGGTTACACTGTTGGAGACTAAATTTTTGATAGTAGGTTACACTGTTGGAGACTAAAATTTTGACAGTAGGTTACACTGTTGGAGACTATATGATGCAGATGGCTTGAAAATCGATATTCAGCCCTATGATGAAATTTAGATTCGAAAACACATAAACACTTAAAAATCATTAAAATATTTAGATAACTTACCACAAGGTTTACCATTTTTAAAACAAATTCTTTTTGAAAAAGTCAACAAAGAGACCATTTCCTTTTGAGAAAGTATACAAAGAGGCCATTTACTTTTGACACAAAAATGTTACAATCACCCTTGTTCATCAAATTTCAAATCAGGTGGTTATAAATGTACCGTTGACTAAGTTCCAAATTCAAAAAAAATATTCTCGACCTTCATGACATAATTCAAGATGTGCAATATGAAATCGGATTGCTTGAGGTACTTGTGAATTCTTTGTAACAAATGTAAATGGTCTCAGCATATACAATCCCTTGAATAAATGGTGTAGAGAATCAGAACCTTCCACATCAATTCAATGAGCTCCAAATACCCCAACTCTTGGCATTTTGTTAAACAACAAACTTATAATAACCGTAACCGATACAGTTTCACACACAAAAGCTAATCGCAAATCCCATGAACACCATAAGAATAAAAGTTCAACACACGAACATAAACAGAGAAATAAGTGAGAACACATCGTCATGATGAAATCTATTCGTAATTGGGGATTGAAAATGCTGAAATTGAGAAAGGAGTGGAACTTTTCATAACAAAGTACAAACATGAGGAAAGAAAAATCATAATTCCTGGATAGTAATCATGTTTAAGGTTACATATAAAATAACCCAAAACAGGAGACAAACTACAAACGACATCTACAAATCTGAAAAGCTCTACCATGTTATCTAATCAGAAAAAAACCAATTCTACCATTTCTTTTTGGGTCATTGAAACCGTTGACACCTACCAATGTAACAAGTTACATGAAAGTAGAAAATGCAAATGAATCGCCTTTCTCAAACAAATGCCTAGAGTCGTAAATTTTGACATCACAGAGAAACCCATTTGAAGAGGCACTAGTCATAGAAGCAAAATACTCACAACATTATAACCATTAAGGATTCATGGATAGATAATCACTTGATCTCACTGAAATAAATCACAATTAGAACTGCAGTGACCTATTTTAAAAGGACATTTGTCTACACGCTAGGGCTCAAAATGGCTATTCAAATCAATATATTACTTCAAATTAATTGCGATAGTATTAACAGCAGAAAGAGGACAATACTCTCACTGGAAAAACAAAAAGAATGAATTTATCTCAGAATACATGAATGAAAATTTTCTCCCAGACCTAGTAAGGCCTCATAATGAGCTGGGTATCTCACAATCATCACCGCCAAAAAAACATATAAGAATTAAAAAAAACAATTCTTTAAATTCAAATAATAGAAAACAAAGAAACACAATCTACCGAACTGATAATAAGGGAAGATAAAATGTATGGTATTTTTCTCTCAGACAAATGCCTCACGTTGCATCAAAATATATAAAACACGTCAGACTCGTCATCGATTTGACATCATTGAGAAACCCATTTCCGCCAACATTAACATTCAAAGATAAACAACTCATCTTGAAACTTTTTTCCAGGGGAATTTTTTCCCCCCTATTTGAATTAAACAAGAATAACCTAAAAAAGGTATTCCTTGA